CTTATCTGTTTATTCATCCTGACCAAATAGTCCAGGATCCAAATACCCTGGCCTTTTCTGATGTGGGGGTATGAAGGCCTGGCTATCTCAGCCCAACTAGGGACAACTCTGAAGGTCTACTTTAGTTCCAAATTTCCCTGTGGGGCTGGCTGGAGCCATTGCTGTGCATGTGCTGCAGCTTGACTTCTCCCCTGCCCAATCCTGCTTCCTTCTCTCTTTTACAAGGACTCATCCCAAGAGCACTCCTTAATAAACATTCGGCACACTAAACTCCTTCTGAGTCTGCTTCCCAGGGAATCCAATCTGCAACACATATGTGCCTTGGATTCTTTCAAAAGAAGGCAACTCCATTAGTCAGTTTCCCTACTTCATCTGATTCTCTGTCACAGAGGTTCATAGACTTTTTAGTTAGAAGAGCAAATGTATCAGTCAGGCTAGGTTATGCTGTAGTAACAAAAAACTACAAGTTCTCAGCAGCTTAATACAAAAATGGCTTATGTTTTGCTTATACTACATATCTATTTTAGATTGGCAAGGGCTCAAAGATGAAAGAGGCTCCATTTCCACACATGCTTTCATAATAGCAGAGGTATTATTCTGGCTCTTAAATGTTATGAGCAGAAGATAAAAGCAAGTCACATGGCCACAACTAAGTTCAACAGGGTGGTAACACATGCTTCTTCTACAGGGAGGAGCAACAGGATGTATGTGAATGATAATAAAGACCACAAAAGCCTGTTCTTCTGGATACCAAACCTTCAGTTCCCTCGTTCTCCCACATGCTGAACACTCTACATGCTTCTTCTACAGGGAGGAGCAACAGGATGTAGGTGAATGATAATAAAGACCACTAAAGCCTGTTCTTCTGGATACCAAACCTTCAGTTCCCTCGTTCTCCCACATGCTGAACACTCTCATCCATCCCTAAGGAAAATAAACCAAAACTGCTATTTAGTCATAGTTTTGAGCTCAAAGTCAAGGATCTTTGGCTGTTGAATACTAGTGTCTAAATTAAGTCCAGATGTTGCTGTTAATCTGGAGAACCGAGAGCTAAAAAGATAAGTTGTCTGTCACACAAACATCCAACACACAGTTGAGAAACAGGGACAGGGCAACCAACATAAACATTTCCATTCGAGGACCACACCAAAGCAACCAATCTGTTTTGACTCTGAAATCACACTAAGTAGACATATGTCCTTCATTTCTCATTTTTTCCTGTCTCTCTTGCTCACACAGGAGAGCTGTACTTTTAGTCCCTTCTCCTAGAGCCACTTTGTCCAAGAGAAATGATTTGCTGGGTGCCACAATAATCCACTTGGAGATTTAACACTGCATGTATGGCCACACTCTTGATTTGGTCCTCGACACTGCTGAAGCCTTTGTAACTCAGTGTTCTCAGCTTTATCTTACATGGGTTAGAAATGACTCATTTGATTTCAACCCTGTAAGTTCTTAAATTTTGGGATTTTTTCTATTTCTTTTCACTCTTGCTTATAGACCTGCCATTTCCCCCGACCTCTTCTCTTTCTTATAATACTCAAATACAGTCAATAATTAACAAATTCATGTTATTGTTCTGTTTTTTCCACCTTTTTGCCTAGAGCTACAAACTCATGATTATATTAACTGCTATTCATGTTAGTGTGGGTGATAGCTTTATAAAAACACTTTATCACTGCATAACATGGATCACCATTCTTTCAGCTTCCAATTCAAGTTTCATGACTGCCTACTACTTGGCTCCAAGGTCATAAATACTTTGGGCATTTGATGTAGCAGCACCAATTTCTATATCAGAGTAAGTTTATTTATGCTGAGATAATCAACACAATTTTAATAGCCAGAGATTTAAAATCCTTCTACATGAAGAAGTGCTAAATATTTGTGAATAGTAATACAATTTACCACAATAAACACAGTACTCAGGTTTGTTTCTTTACAGACCTGAGATATTACTGAAAATTCCCAAGATTTTTATTGACTCACTAGCATGGATTTTAGTGGATATAGCATAGAATTAGGTGTTAGGTGCATGTTTGCTATATGTCTTTTAATGACACACCAGAATCATCAATATTTCTTTTGTTGATAATGAAATACATTTTATGGTACTTTTCATATTTTTTACTCATTTCATTAGGCATTTGGGGAGAAAATGTCTGAGGGATATTCAATACACCACCTTCCATTCCCTTCTCTGAAGCTGGTTTGCATATTAGAGAGCCAGATTTGGCTCACAAGCAATAGTTTGCCAATCCCAGTCAAGAGCAGTAATTCCCAAACATTAGAAAGTTGTTGAAAAGGTATTGGAGAGTGAGAAAACATGATAAATGTCCACCACGAAATGTCATACATTAAATACACAAAACTCACCTAAAATCCACCCATTTCTGTTCTTATCTAATTCCTTTTCCAACATATATCAGTAGAATCAGAGAATATCAGAGAGGTATAGGACCTTGGGGATCATTTAGTCTAATCCTCTCATTTTACTAATGAGAAATCTGATGCCCGAAATGACTAGATAATTTACCAGGTTTACACAGCTAGTTAGCAGAAAGAACTCATTCTTTCAAATCTTAGCATGATATATTTTCCATCATGCAATGATCAAGGAGGCATACCTCAAACTATATCCTTATCTTAATGTTAAACTTTAACACTCAGGAAAACACATTGTTTAGTCCTCAGAAAGTCATCTTGGTGACACTGGTCTTTTTTCTCTCAATGTATTGATTCAATAAGGTCCTGAAAAACTAACTATAAAACTAAATTTTATATGCAGAATTCTATTTTTCTATTATTATCCATGTAAATAAACTGTAAGCTTTAAATATGTTTTAATTGTAGTTTGTAAATTCTTTGGCTGGATTAAGACTTGCCAAAAGGCTAATATTCTTGCAACAACAAGAAATTATTTAAAAGCCACGAGAATAAATGTTTAATCATGAGTGCACCTCTTACACATACATTATTACATTTTAGAAAATTAGACAAACCCACTTAAGTAAACTGTAATCACAAGATTTCTCCATATGGCTAATAGTAAAACTTAAGCAAAGAAAACATTTACACTATACTATATAGAGAGGATATACATTCTATTGGTATATTTTTATGACAAGACAATTGATAGAATGATGAACGTTAATCTCATAATTGTGGTGTGCCAAGTTGTTTCTGGCACAGAAGCCAAAAACAAGCAATGAGATTTAGAGAAGGAGAAAGAAGGAGAGCAAGAGAGAGGAACAATAAAGTACAGTTACTGAATTTAGGAAGTGTGTCAATGCAGAGAAAAATTCTCCAAGAGCAGAAGATGGATAGTTTTATTCAGGTGTAAATTCTGTTGCAGAAGCTATTTATCTAGCTTTTCCTCTTGTGAACACTCTTCAGGAATTTACTGTACTGGTTGGCAAAAAAAAAAAAAAAAAAAAAAATTATAGAATCAATGACTATAAGCTGACTACAAGCTAACACCTATAATGTAGGTGCATATAGAAATTACTTAGTTTAACCAGAGATAAAACCATATTATTTTCTATCATGTAATTTTCTTTGTGAAATGAATACAATTAAAACAGAACTGGGAATAATTTGAAGTGAATAAAGTAATATAAAATACATACCTCTTGATGATACAGTCTTTCTCTTCTAATTTAAATCAGTTATTTCTATACAAGGATGTATTTTCCACAGAATGACTAGTGACCATTCAGACCAAATCATGAGAAAGTTTAAAAATCATATTAATAATTATAGAATACTCAATATTATGAAAAAAATTTTCCCCTTGAAATATTGCCTGTACTTTATTTTGTTCTCATCTTATAATCTATCTGATATCATTTTAAAAAGGCATTTCCTAAAAATATTTATTCTGAAAATTTATCAATTCTCCCAATAAAAATGAAATCTTATCCCACAAACTATGTGGATGGGTATATGATATTTACCATCATCTTCTTGTTTTTAAAGACGCTGACATCATCTAGTTAAAATGGTATGGATCGATTGTGAATGAAGGTCCTACAACATCAAATGCTGCCTAGGGTAGGTGCAATAAGACCCTAACCTTAGACAATGCTAACACATTTAAAAGCTTAAAAACGACCCTAAAATATTATACCTTTATTTAAAAATATAAATCTATTCTAAAATCTGTATATTCATATTATAAAAATGCTTTTTATTCAATATAACAGAGAGGAATAAATATAAATCATAATTTACACTTACAGCATATCACAGATTTTCTCATAATCTAAATAACTATGTGGCACGATGTACCTCCCTGGTTTAAATTAACAGTGCAGACATTTCTCTCCTGTGATTTGCAGTGCTTACGGGAATTTAGTTAAAAACATGGAGAGAGATTGATTTGTATGTGATTATAATCTGGAGGGAAAAAAAAGAGAGAATAGTTCAAAGTGCTAAGCTTAAGTGTTCTCTCAGAAAGCCTGAAAATCTCTGTTTAAAAAGGGGGGAAAGTAAAACAAGATATTCTTGAACCTTTAAAATAATTTCATGGCACTTTTGAAAAGATAACCAGTCATCACTTAGACATCAGTACATATTCTGTAAGAGCAAATAATTTCTGTTATTGCAAATAAGATATAGGGCTAGATAGTTCTTAATGAATCACCTATTTTTACCCTAGAAAGAAAACAATATATTCTACAGGGAGATGATATGATGTTATAATCAATCATTTATTAAATGTTCAACAAAAGAACAAACTTGTAAGACTCTGGGGTGGAACTCTGTGAAGGGTAAAATAAAATAAACAAAATAGACCATGTATCATTTTCAAGGGCAATTTTCATAGAAAAGAAAAAGTTATACCTACTTATCCAGGGTTTAGAAATTTTTATAAAGGTATGGTTACTACATAAACAATAGACCGAGAAAGTTGTTGGGTTGATTAAAGATTTTAAATATTGTATATATTATATACCATGAACATAAACTGTATTCAAGCCATTTGATGAGATACTCACAGAATGATTGTAAGAAGGTTCCAATATCACAGGTAATGACATTTTCCCTTGAAGATTCAATTTTGTTAAATAAAAAATCTTTTCCCCCACAATCTTTTCTTTTTTCATGCGATGTACACCATACAGTCTAAATCGAACTGCATAATTTCCAATCATCTCAGATTCAACATGATTAAATTTGAATGTTTCTGTGAACACAGGGCATGGTCCTCTCTGGATGCTGGTTTTTGCCCTCTGTTTCTTTATAGGTAGAAGAACAAGGTGTACTTGCCATGAGTTGCCACTTGTCCTATTATACGTTGGGATGTCTGTGACAGCTGTCACTGTTACCAGAAGCTTCTGTTCTTGTGAGTCATAGTCAAAAGTCACATCCAGTGTGCCATATTTAGCTTCTGGCTCAGGATCAAAAGGTTTAGGAAGCTGTGAAGATGATCCTTGAGCTGACATTTCCTAAGAAAAGCAAATTTAAATGTTTTCAGTTTTTAACTTTATTATTTAATCTAGAATGTAAATAAATACCTGATATTTCTTCAGGAGGAGGATGTGAAAACAATTTTCATTTGCTGCCACAAAAAAAGTAATAATAATTAACAGCCAACTACAATCAAAATCTGCTCTGCAGGGCCAGAGTAGTATAAGTGGTAAGTTAAACTCAAAAACTTATTATAATAAAAACACGTTTAGAATTTAATATCCACTATCATAATTTTGACAGAATTAAATATATGTTTTCTTAAATGGGAATTTAAAATAGATACTTTAATGTGTATCTGCTCTTTTTGTAGAAAGCTACTACATTTTACTTTCATTACATGCAATGCAATTGACAGTTCAATACTAGGCTAGAGAGAAAGAGAATATAAATAAAAGTATAATGCTATTGAAAAATTTGGTTCCATTCTCAGAGTTTGTCCTAAAATGATCTCATACATAATAGAGGGCAAACATATTTAGAGTTAAAAATCAATGGATGGGAAATATGGAAATATAAATACAAAAGCCCTCAAAATATTTGCAGCCAAATATTATTCTCTATAACATGGACCATATTTACTTCAATTTTTAACCAGAATTAAAAACAACATATTATTTTTAACACTAATTACTGTTGAAAATGGCAGAATACACATTGCAAAAGTTCAAGAAAGACTAAAACTGTACATTTTAATTATAAAATTAAAAGACATTGTACCCATTTCACCTATAATCATTTCAAATTCCTGCCAGTTTATTTGGAATATAATGGAGTTTTCAGCTAGTTACTGAGAATGCCAAACCCAGGTCTCTGACCTTTCAAATATACTACATTATCCCTTGAAGTATTTTAATAAATCTTAAATAATTTCCATTTTTAAATGTGAACCAATTTTATAATTTTCTAACTTTTATTTAGTTCCTACTGGAGCAGTGAATAGAACTGACCCTCAGTCTTTTCTTTCATTTACAAAAGAACTCTAGGAATTTTTAGCTACTCACTGACCACAAGAGCCTTCCTTACAACTTGTATGCCTATGTGACCCAGCTTTGGTCAACGGGAGGCAAACAGAAATTATGCGTGAAACATCCAGATCAGATTTATGTAAGAAATTACTTTTTCTCCACTCTCTGTCTCGCTCTTCCCACAAGCAGATACAGACACAGACAGGATGTGTGGGTCAGCTTGGATCATGTGGACTAAGACAGCACCCTAGGGGAGGGCAGGGTAACAAGAGAAGGAACTGGGCCCTTGAATGATACTGTAGAGCAAAGCCACCTTCTCACCCTGGACTATTGTTAATGAAAGAGAAGTAAGCTTCTGCACTTTTTAGCTACGGTATCTGGAGGGCCTTCTTGTTACAGCAGCTTAACATGTACCCTAACTATTGTACCTACTATGTGCCAGGCCCTATTATAACTGGAGGAAACTCCTCTTTCTGCAGAAGAAGACCAAAAAGACATGAGTATTTGACCTTATAAATCTTTATATGATAGTTGGTATAATGTATGGAAAAAAGATGACAAATGAAGAATATTTGGGGAGAGGGAACAAACTCTCATAGAAGAATTCAGTGGTTTTTTTGCAGTTTAAGTAAATCAGGGTAAACATATTCTTCTTACTCTGTTAAAAATTTACAGTTTAGAGCAAAATGTTTTAATATATTCCACTTCACAACTGGTAATTAAAGATTATTAATTATATGGATTTGGAATTTCAATAAAAAATTTTCTAAAATACTGTCATTACAGCTAAGATTTTCAGGCAATAAAAAAATTTATAAGGTCCTAAATAGCTAAATTTTGTTTCTCTTGGTGCCTTCCTGATTTTACTTCCTTTTTTTTCTGAGCATTCCAGCAATTCTTGTGAAACCCAGGGTTAAAAGGGTAGGACCTTTATAGATAAAAATTACTATTTGCAACCTGCAAATAGGCAATGAAAAAGCAATCCTTCCTTTCAAGGTGCCTGAATCAAAGTATTAAAAATCCTTTAGCTAGCAGCAGGTCACCAATAAAATCCATCCACTACTTGCCATGGAATTCTTTTAAATCCTATTTCAGTTCAATCATTCATGTGGATGGACTCTGAGATAGCTATAAACTGGGTTAAACCAAAAGGAAGTAAGAATTTTCTGTTTCATACATAATATCTATTACAGGAATGCAAAATAAACTTGAAAAAATGCAAGAGTGAATTTTATACTAGCATAGGCTGTCAGCGTTCCACAACTAAGTATTTATGTAATGTGTATTTGGTATATTGTTTGAATATATTCAACACTGCGTTAGAAGACACAAGAACAAGATGATGGAGGAAACTCAGAAGAAGGGTTAACAAAGATAGCAAGTTAGCAGCTTCTGAAATATGGGCAAAACTCACAGGATGTGTTAACTACAGATAGTGAGTAAGGAAACAGCTTGTGAGACATAGGGAGATTTCAAAAGATACATTAAATACAGATAGTAACTATGTTTATAACACATATGATATGCCAAAGGTAAATGAAATAAATACAATATACAATGGGACAAATCAGTGTTACCTATGGAAAGAGAGTGAAAGCCCAAGTCATGATCATGTTGCCTCTGGGCTTACAGCTTTGTCACCCATGTATTTCTACTTAAAAAATGCAGAAAAAACCTACAACTGTTTAGCAGGCTAATTGGCAAGTTTCAGCGGTGGCCAGGTGTACTTCTTCCTACATCTCTGCCATAAAACAAGTGTGTGCTGTTGGCTCCTGGTAGCCTTGTTCAAATCTCAACTCTGGCCCTTGTTACTCCATGATCACTGGAATGCTGATGGAACAAAGAGAGTGAGATAGGATGTATGTGCACAGCACAAACCAGGACTCACACAGTGTGGTCTTGCTACCTATACCTACTGGCATCTTATGCTAGGTGTGTTAACCTACCTCATCTTTCTCCTCTTACTTCTTGCTTTGCATTTGAAATAGACTAAAACACACACACATGTGCACGCACGAATGAAAGTGCATGTGTACACACGTGTAACCTGAGCATCTTAATTTGGTCTGAGTCCTCTGGGATAGACTGCCTGGTGGTGTACTTGGGGAGTACCACTGCATCAAAGTAATTTCCCACACAAAACTTTGTTTCAAGAGGGGCAATATAACACAGATGTTAAGAGCACTGTTTTTACAGTTAGACCTGGATTTGAATATAGTTCCACTATTTAAGAGCTGCTTCCTCTTGGGCAAACTGCTTAACTCTCCGAGTCTTAATGTTTTCATTTGTAAAACATAAATAATAACTTCTTGAAGATGTGGTTGGTAAAATTAAATGAACTGACTGCAGAAAGCTCATAGCAAAATTCCCAACACAACTGGTGATAGCTATTATTAATTCCATAATCCAGGCTTCAGTTAACTTGTTGGCTATCTATATAGTTAGAAAAACTACAAAATAACTGTCTCAAATTTGTTTAGGTGAAAATCATGAAATACTGATATATTAAACTTAAAATATCACTGTAGAATTTTCTTCTATGTTAGTTACTGTTGGGAAAATATAGGAAAAATGGTCAGGGCCCCTCAGATGTTCAGAATCTTGCCGAGCATTTGATGTAAATAGGCATATGTGCTCAGGTGTTCCTTGGTTATTGTCAGTGTAATTGCTCATGTGCACCCAGACGTCCTGGGTTATGGACTTAAGTATGAGTGGCTCTGATCCAAAGTGCCTTCCAGCCCTGGGATGCCTCCCCCCCGGGGGGGGGACATGGGGAGGCCACTACTGCTGCTGGAGGCTGCTGCTGCTAGTGCCCCCAGGACCCTCTGCAAGGCCACTGCCAGACCTGTAACCTACCAGACTTGTAAGCTGCTGCCGCTGACGAAGCTGAAGACTGAGCTCATGTCATCTGCCAACAGCTTCTGGAATCTTTCCCGATTACTTAACATGGACCTGTGTGTGAGGGGTCTGGGGACCCAGTCTGTACAATGGGTTTGGAGGGTCTGAGCCCTAGCTCTGCCGATATAAATGGAAACTTAGTATAACTAAAATAATAACTAGAATAATGAAACATCTTGGCTTTAGTTATGATTTGCCTTACTTTTCAGTTACTATAAACTAGAAATACTAAAAGAGTAGTAACAGATACAAAGTATTTTTTTAAATTATATAAGAAAAACCTAAAATTAAGGAAATTCTATCCATAGCTTAATTGTTCTGTGTATAGGGAAACTATTACCATTATTTAATTTTGGCAGCAAACCAGAAAATTCACCTGCTAAGAAGATGGACATATTATAGTATCACTGAATGAAATCTGGAACAAAAGTTGTAAAAACTTCCAATCTAAAACTTGAAAGTACATCCTAAAAATAAATACTAACTTATGAAAATCTCTATATTACCTTTATAATTTTTATCATTAGAGAAAGATTAAAACAAATCCTTTTTACAGCATGGCAATACTTCAAAACTGCAACACAATTATTTTTGTTGACATTTTCGCTCCAAAAAAGTAACTTAAAACTCAACCAACCACTCTGAACGCATGACATCATGAATTCAAATTTCATCAGTACAGCTGATCATTATCCCTTTCATATTCTATGATATGAAAATACAATAAAATATTTTGAAAGACTTGTGAAACATTGAGTAACCTCTCAACAGTAAAAAAAATAAAAGTAAAAAAATAATAAAAATGGGCTGGCTGGTTAGCTCAGTTGGTTAGAACATGGTGCTGATAACACCAAGGTCCAGTGTTCAATCCTTGCACTGTCCAGCCACCAAAAAAAAAAAAAAGAAAGAAAAAGAAAAAGAAATAGTAATCTCATGATGAAAGAAAAAGGTAAATAATTTCAGAATTGTTTAAGTGTTTAAAAAAACAATCCACAAACCATATTTAGCTACCCATCTTTTGTTGGGGGAGGGGAGAGTTGAAGACTACTTGGGACAGTCCTGATAAGTTTGTTGGATAAAGATTAGATTAAGAATGAAAAATGATACCACAAACAACAAAGGAATAAGATAGTGATAAAAGCAATTCTTTTTACCAAGAGGAGAAGCACCGGGTTATTATCCTTCACATAACATTCGTTTTCAAACGTCTATGTGTTTACTTACTTCAGGGCTCAGGACTGCCGTGCTGTCACTTGGAACATCTTCATATCCTTTGTTATGAAAACTTTCTATTTCATGACCTGTGCTTCCTTCACTTGGGCACTTGTTATATGAGCATCTTGGACTGTTGCTGCAGTGGGAAAATTCACATTTACTGTCCCCAATTTCTGAGGGTGTACAGGAGAGATGGGGAGAACCACTGTCATCCTGATATGGTGGTGGCTGCAGTTCATCCAGTGGGGGCGTTCTTCTCATCCTCTGAATGCAGTTTCCTGATAATGATTAAGAACCTGGTCACCGTTTTCAATTAACCTCAACATTCCATACAGTTTGTAATAATTGTAAATAACTTAAAAAACAAACTAGATTAAAAAATGTGTGGCAATATAACTATTAGATTTACTAATGAGTTTTTTTTTTCCCTAGCTCATCTGGTTCCCCACTCCTCTCCTCCTGCATAATAAGATTAGGAAAAATAAAGTCATGTACTGAGAGAGATCCTGTTATGTACCATAAAAATGGGAGAGTGATAAGTATTAGTTAAATCATTTATTTATTTAGTTCTTTCTCTCCAAACAATCCTGTGGCATACATACTTTATCTTTTCCCTTGATATCTGTGGTTTCTCTAGCCAAAGCAATAAAAATATGGTAGGTAAAGCAAACATAAAAACCTCATCTATTTTCTTCAGTTACTGAGATGAACTTAAACTATCATTCAACTCAGCAGCATCAGGACTGTTTTTCCACATCTATCCTGTAACCACAATTCTTAAATGAGGTGCACTGGGATTCAGGCCCAGTCCCTGTTTGCTAACCTCCATCAAGCAGCAAAGATTGACAGCTGCATTCTGTCTCTTCTTCATTACAAGGCACTCTCTATTCCATGCTACACCTGGGTCTGTATTCCTTCTAAAGTATGGGCCCACCCTTCTACAGTAGGCACCTGTGCCTTGAGCACTTAATGTGAAACCACATTTTCTTTGACTCTTAAACTACCCTTTTAATTTTTATCTCAAATGATTTATCTTAATTATTAAGAATAAACATCTGTGAACAGGATGGACGTAGGGGCAGTAGGGGAATAAGGAAACAGAGTCCAATATACAATTTAAGAATAGCTAAGACTCGGGCCGGCCCGGTGGCGCACTGGAGAGTGCGCCGCTTGGGAGTGCAGCGGCACTCCCACCGAGGTTTCGGATCCCATGTGGAGACCGGTTCCCGCTCACTGGCTGAGCGCGGTGCAGGCGCAACACCGAGGGTTGCGATCCCGTTGCCGGTCCCCGGTACGGGCACAACACCGAGGGTTGCGATCCCGTTACCGGTCAGTAAAAAAGACAAAAAGGACAAAAAAAAAGAATAGCTAAGACTCTAAATAAATCCCAAATGCAATATGAAATATTAAATCTAAACACTGCTCATTTTTTTCTATTAATGAACTGTGCATCTCCTTTCTCAAAAAGACCTTGAAAAAGGTAGTTTTTATTATAATTATTATGGGGTTCAGTTCATATTCAATAGTTCCTCTGTTCTTCTGAAGATAGAAAAACTTTACATAAAAACTACAAGCTTCATTTAAAAATTACCACAATACCTGATTCAAGTGAAAAATATTAATTTGCATGAACTTAGCACAAATTTACATATTTGCTCAGAAGCTCCATTTTGGAAAAAAAGAAAACTAAATGTTCTTACCTACTAACATTAGTTTATAAAACATAAACAAAGAATAAAAAGTTATTGAATTAATATAGTTACAGCTAAATTAAAGACAGATTAGAGACACATTGCAAGTGGTAACGAAAAAAACCACAAAATTCCAGAATAATAAAGAGACGAGTAGCTTAAAGCAACTGTCTAGTTTAATCCGTTTATGTGGGATAGGTAAATATGTGTGGCTGGCACAGCTGGTAGGCTGACTTCACCCCATCCATAACCTCTTCCTCTCCCAAGCATCACTCCAATCAGGGGGTGGCCAATGAGATCTAAGCAGAAGCTTTCAGAGTGGGGCTTTCAGAAAAGTTTTGTTTTCCCAATAAAAGCAGGCAGACTCAACTGGCATGTCCCTTTGTCCCATCGCCTTCCCCCTTAGTCCTGCTTTGAAGTTCACCAGCCATTTTGTGACCATGAAATAACAAGCATGAGAAGGAAAGCCAAGGATGCAGAAGTAGAAAAATGGAAAGAGTCTGGGCACCTGAAACATCTCTAAGAATCACTAAGGATCTATCTCCAAACTTCTTGATGACTGAAACAAATAAATAAACAAATCCTTGTTTAAAAAACCCTCCAAAACAAAACCTCATAACTGGATTTTCTATTGTTTCCAAATACATTCTCAACTAATACAGTTTATAAATCATTAAACCAAAATCTTCCTCTTTTAAAAATGCATATTGAATCAGCCACTGAATTAAATTAAATGGTAATTCCTGAATACTTACTGTAACATGAAGTCAATTAATTTCCCAGTGTAGTGGTTCTAGGAGTCAGCACACCGTCTTTACCTTTTTTCTTGGAAGAGAGGTGATTTTTCTTGGAAGTTATCTCAGCATATTGCCTCACAGATCTCACTGGACAGAACTGGGCCACATGTCTATTCCTAAACCCATTACTGGTAGGAGAAACGGGACTACCACAATTGGCTTAAATTAACCAGAAGCCATCAAAATTTGAAGCTGGGGATGGGGTCAGCTTCACTGTTCCTATCTATATGGAAAAGAATAGATGCCCGAACAATGCAGGGTCCAGGAATGAGGAAGAAAGAGAAAGGATGTTGGCTAGGAAACAAACATGATCCAGTCCTTACCATCCTCATCCTTCAATTTGGATATTCGATCTCAGTTTTCATCTTGATTAGATTTTTTTCTCTCTGTGGCTCTTTTTTTCCTAAGTAGCTATTGTAATAATCCTCCTCTGAACTTTCTTTTGATGTGATCAGCACATAGAATTTCTTTCTGGTAATAATGTTATACCTTATTTCCTTTGGTTTAACTTTTTGTATTAAATCCCTGCCTAGCTGCAAACAACCTACTGTATTTTCACAGCTGAGATCCAGTTACCGGGCTCTTATTTAGATCTAGTGTAACTCTTGCTCCAGAGACCAAGGCACAAGATATACAAAACAGGTTTGTAATATCTAAAGATGTTGAGTAGGCTCAATGGGTAAATCTCACTACTGTTTTCTAGATTTGAGAGAAACAATGCTAAAGCTGTGAATGGGAATATATACATCATTTTGGCTATATCATATCCTCAAAATTTCATCAATAGTAATACCATACTTTCATCTTTACATTTCACTTTACTTTTGCATTATACTTTGCAAAGTGAAGAACTAGCAAATATAAGTGGAATAAAAATTTCATTAAAAATGTGTGAGGATCTTATATGAGGATTTCTTCTTTTAAACTTTTTCAATAACCCCTTTTTATTCTAATTGACAACTACTTCATGTTATCTATACAGTGTAATAACTAAGAGTTGGCTTAAATATAACTAATATTAGAAAAAATCTAAGACAATTACCTTATAAAATAATACAATTTGTATTACTGTTGTTAAATTAACCTTAAGAAGAAATTTCTAGTGGGACTATCTAACACCAAAATGATGATGATGCTTTTCCATTCCTTTAGCTCTTGCTTTATTACCTAATTTCATATCCTTATTTTTATGGAAATGTTATGTCCATAAAAGGATTCAGGCACAGATATATTTTAAGCATTTTAATTTACCACTTGCATATTGCAAAGCACCTATAAAACAAGACAAAATATTTTCTTACCCTAGAAAAAATAGCACGCGTGCATGCATACACAGAATATGACCTGTAGCTCTTAACATTACATTTTAAGACAGTTGTGAGAATCACAGTTCTAAAAAATGGTGAATATTCAGCAACTGCAGAATTCACTTTTCTTTTCACGTGCTTGTTGAAATTTCCCAAAATTGATTACATGCTGGATAATAAATTAAAGCTCAACACATTTCACAAAATTGGAAGCATAAAGAGGATATTTTCTGACCACTGTGGAATTAGACCAGAAATCAGAAACAAAAATATAACTAGAAAATCTATACAAATCTAGGCAAAAATAACTGGAAATTAAAACATACTTCTAAATAACCCATGGATCAAAGAAATCACAATAGATATTAGAAAATATACTGAAGAGAATGACAATAAAAATAATCCATATAAATATTTATGGGATGAGATTAAAGCCGTGTTTAAAAGGAAATTTATAGGTCTAAGTGCATACAAGGATCTTCAAAAAGTTCATGGAAAGACTGTATTATCTCTTAGTCCAACTTTTCTGTGAACTTTTTGAAGTACCCTCATATATTGTGGGTTTGGGGGGCTTGAGTCTAAAAAACAATGATCTAAGCATTGAATTCAAGAAGTTAGAAAAAAACCCAGCTAATCAAACCCCCCAAAAGTAGGAGGGATGAAATAATAAAGGGCAGAAATTAAATTTTAAAAATGCATACAATAGAAAGCATCAGCAAACCAAAATAAAATTCATTGGAAACACTTATACAATTGACAAACTGATAATAGATACTAGTCAGAAAAATGGAGAGATGGCATAAATTATTAATATCAGGAATAAAAAGGAGGACATCATTTCAAATCCTGCAGACATTAAAATGACAGCGAGTTTTCCCTTTGCCCTTTCCTTTTTGAAAATTTCAGTCCTAAAGCTATGGAGTGGGGCAGAGGAAGGCAGGGGTCTGTGCTGGTGGTGGCAAAGGAAGCTGCAATGATTGCTCCACCCATCAGAGCCCAAGTGGGATGAAGAAGATGTCCACCTATGTGGGAAGCCCAGTGTGCTATTCTGGGACCCAAGTAAGATGAGAAGAGTGTCCATGTCCTTATGGGTGGGGGGAGGGGGGCAGCCCACATACACTGTCAGAACCCAAGATGGGAAAGAGGGCTTTCATCTCAGGGAGTGGCCAGAAGTTAAGTGTCAGAGCTCAAGCAGGGTACAGAGGACATGCACAAATGGGGCAGCCCTCCACAGTGTGCAAAAGGCCCAGTGAGGAGAGTCAGAGTCTCAGCAGAATAAAGAGACTTCCCTATGGAGGGGCAGCCAGGCCTGGGGCAACAGAGTCCAAGGAAAGTAAGGTGTGTGTCCACACTGAGGGCAGGGGGGAAGCCGACGAGCAGAATCAGAGCCTGAGAAGAATCGGAGCCATGGAGCTGAGTGAGTGGTGTGGGTTGTGTAGCCCAGGTAGGGTGAGGAGGGCATCCACCTGGTGAAGGAGACCCT